TATACCTAAAATCAATGGAATCCAAAGAATTATATACCGAAATTAAAAAAAACAAGTTAAAAAGCAGTAAGTTCGGCCGGGCCGAACTTTGAATACCCTCCACCATTTGGAACGAATTTGGAAATAAAATCCTGAAAAAAATTTTGGTAAAATTTTAAAAATACCGAATATTGCCGTTATATTGGTGCCTATACGACGTGGACCCACACAGGCATTATTTGTCATGAGTCATTACCAAATTCAAATTCGGAACTTGAAATAAACGCGAATAATGTAGCTAAAATCATCAAAGTATAGAATATAGGGAGGTACCGTTATATCGGAGCTGTGCGAAGACCTGAACCTGCGCAGACAATTTTTTGTCATATTTTGTAGCATCCATTACGAACTTCAAATACGACATTTCAAACAACTTCGGTGAGTATTGTACCTAAACTCGTCAAAATACCGAATATAGGGAGGTACTGCTATATGGGGCCTATACGAAGACCTGGACCTGCATTGACAATTTTTTGTCACAGACTGGAGTTTCCATTACGAACTCTAAATGCGTAATTTGAAAAAATTTTGGTAAATAAAGACGCTAAAATCACCAAAATACCGAATATAGGGAGGTACCGTTATATTGGGGCTATGCGAAGACGTAGACCTGAACAGACAATTTTCTGTCTTAGGCTGTAGTATCCATTGCGAACTTCAAATACCAAATTTTGAACAATTCCGATTAATAATGTCGCTAAAATCATGAAAATACCAAATATCGGGAGGTACAGTTATATGGGGGCTATACGAAGACGTGGACCTGCACAGACAATTTTCTGTCTTAGGCTGTAGTATGCATTGCGAACTTCAAATACCAAATTTGAAACAATTCCTGTGAATAATAAAATCATCAAAATATCGAATATCGGGAGGTACCGTTATATTGGGGATATATGAAAACGTGGGCCTACATGGCCCAATTACGAACTTAACCTGTACTGTAAAAATAAACCTGTGTGCAAAATTTTAGCCTTGTATCTCAATTCATTCGAAAGATAGCGTGATTACAACAGACAGACGGACAGACAGACAGACAGACAGACGGACATCGCTAAATCGACTTAGAATTTTACGTTGATCAAGAATATTTACGTTTGTTGTGTCTGACATGAGTATTTCGAGGAGTTACAAACGGAATGACAAAGTTAATATACCCTCCACAGTATGGTGGAGGGTATAAAATGGATGTGGGGGAACTTGCCCGCACGATTTAGGTTAATTTGCGATGTAGACTTTCAAAACGATTCCATTTTTTCTTAAGAATTTTTTTTTTTTCCTAAAAAAATTCATTTTAAATTATTCGAAAAGTTCGCCCAAATCCTTGAAAATGGTTTCCTGGAAAACTCACGATTAATCACATTTCCATGTAAATCATAAAGTATCGTCGTTAAGATGTGTATTCAAACATATATATGTACAAACATGCATCTTTATCTCTTTCTCCATTCATTCTCAGAATCCGAATTGAAAATTGTCTCACTAAGGCGTCAATGAAAAAATATAATCTACTTTGAGTTTTTTTTTTTTCTTTTTTTATTTGCATCACAACCAGGAGCGAAATCTTGTGAAATATTTGTAAGGAATCTATATTTGTTTTTTTTTCAAAATCATCTGTAATAAGATTTCAAAATAAGTCGTAAAATAATTATGAATTTCTAATGAAAATCGATTAAATTCAATCGAGTTCTATAATCCATTGCGCTGGCTACACCGAAGAAATTTCGGATGCCATCAAGAAGACTATATTGAGAGTTGAACAATTCCTCGTAACATTTTGTTTTCCTTGGAAAGAATATTCAAATCAGTTTGCATAAGGAATAATTGAAAATTCCGCTGTGTGGTACTTAGTTGAAACCAAAGGACCTATAGAAGAATTTTATGACAAATAATTTCGCAGACTATTCTGATTTACAACGATCCTGTTTAACCATATTTTGAAAAAGGACCAAACAGACCCCATTCAGTCACTCCTTTGAGGGTTAAAATGTGTGGCAATTAGTTGAAACCACATGCTATCAATATCCCCTTTTTTTAATTGTTTTTAACATGGCCCATTTATTTTCATTTTTAAGAGAAATTGGCCCAATAATACTTCTCTTCTTCTAAAAGCCGTATGCAAGTTTCGCACACATTCTGCAACTTTACCATGATTTGTATACCCTCAGCCATATGGCAACAGAGGGTATATATCATTTGATACGGCCAAAACGTGGCTAGTCGAAATAACGGTTTTAGACCGTAGGTCTCTTTCTACTAAAACCGTTTCAGGACATTTGGAGTCGATCTAGCGATGTCCCTCCGTGACTGGTTCACACTTGGTACATCTTAATATTATTATCAAACTTAGATCGAATTCAAAGATGGGCAATATCGATCCACACTCCTCCCCAGTGATATTTCTTTATATTTGGCTGGAAAACCACAAGTGGCTATCGTTAGAGCACTCCAGCATTTAAATGTGAATAAATCTATCGTAGCCTGAAGTCAAGGAAGTGGGCGAAAGAAAACACAACATCAGCAGAAATGGTGCGAAAAGTAAAGAAGCGATCTGATCGAAACCCGCATCGCAGTGACCGAAAAATGGCTCGTGAGCTGAACATATCGCAATATTCCATTCGGCAAATATTGAAAAATGAACTCGGGGTAAAGCCATTGAAATTCCAAAAAGTGCAAGAACTTATACCGCAACAGAAAGAAAATAGACTCAAAAAAGCTAAAGAGTTGCCTCGCTTAGCCGAAAGTGGTGAACTGCCGAATTTGGTTTTCTCCAACAACTTTCGTTGTTCAGCAGTTTGTAAACTAACAAAATGATCGTGTTTACTTGCCATAGAGGTCAGCTGAAAATGTGCATCTTCACTTAGCCACTAGAACTCAAGCGATGGCCATGGTGATGATGTGGGACGCCGATGATCGCTCTGCGCCCGTATTAATCGACCGTGGCATCAGAATAAATGCCAAATACTATCGCGAAAATATTCTGGAGGGTGTATTAAAGCTTTGGGCACGCAAACATTTTGGCCGCAGACCTTGAACATTCCAAGAGGACTCAGCACCATCGCACTCAGCACGCCCCACCCAAGAATGGTTACAAAGTGAGGTTCCTCGCTTCATTTCCAGCGCACAATGGCCACCAAAATCTCCGGATACCAATCCGCTGAACTATTGCGTCTGGAGTATTTTGGAAAGCAAGGTTGGAACTAAAAAACCCTAAAGTTTCGATCACCTTAAGCAAGCGCTTCGCCTGGAATGGGCCAAAATACAGCAAAGCAACATTCGGGCAGTGTGTGACGGTTTCATTGGCCGTTTGAAGACCATGATTTGTGCCAAAGGTGACCAATTCGAACAAATCTAAACTTATTCTAAAATTTGATGCCGTTTCCGACATTTTTTGCTTTCATTCAATAAAATAAAAAAAATGTAAAAATTATGGCAATTGACCTTGTTGCAGTTTTTTTTTTATCTCACCCTGTATAGAGGGTGTATTAAGTTTGTTATTCCGTTACAAACTCATCGAAGTTATAATTTTAGATATAACAAAGTATATATATTCTTGATCCGCGCAAAATTCTAAGACGATTTGGCGCAAAAGTTAAAACGAATAAAGATGGGAAGATAAAATTTCAGTCAAGTTCAAGGATGAGCTATATCGGTCCACGATATCGCATAACCCCATATAACGGGGTTATAATTTTTCAGTGAAATTGTCTGAAAATCAACAAAAAAAAGTTGCTTCTGAGTACTTTACCCCCTGGAAGAGAAATGTCAATATAGGTCCACGATATCGTATATCCCCCATTAAACGGTACTTCCCCATATTCGGTATTTTAATGATTTCAGCTACATTTTTCAATGGAATTGTCTATGCTAGATGTTCTTTCTAAGCACTTAACCCATTTGAAGAGAAATGTCTATATATATCGTATCGTATAGTCCACATACAGCAGCACTCCCCGATATTCGATATTTTGACGATTTTAAGGACATTATTCACCGGAGTTGATTCAAATTTCGTATTTAGATATCGTAATGGGTATTTAATCCTATGACAAACAATTGCGTATGCAGGTCCAGTTCTTCGTATAGCCCCCATAAAACGGCACCTACTTATATTCGGTATTTTGATGATTTTTGCGACATTATTCACCGAAATTGTTTAATATTTCTTATTTGAAGTTCCTAACGGGTACTACAGTCTATGACAGAAAATTATCTTGGCAGGTCCAGGTCTTCGTATGACCCCCATATATCGTACCTCCCCATATTCGGTATTTTGACAATTTTAGGTACAATACTCACTGGAATTGTTTCAAATTTCGTATTTGCAGTTCGTAATTGGTACTACAGCCTGTGCAGGTCCACGTCTTCGTATGGACCCCAAAATATCGGCAACGGTATTTTTAATATTTTAATAGAATTTTTAACGGATGTTTTTTTTTGAAAATTTCCAAATTCGTGGAGGGTATTAAAAGTTCGGCTCGACTGAACTTAGCTGCTTTTGGTGTTTTCCTGTAAGCCCTTAATTTTTTTCTTCTAAATTCAAAAGAATTTCTTCATAACGTATTTGCTTTGTAAATATCTGGCGATTTTGTTAATAATCGATATGTTACCAATAACCATTTTACAATCGATTTATAATTCACTCCACATGACCTCAAAGTAGTTGTGAAGAAACTAGTTTTTTTATTTTTCTGTTTTTCTTGATCCATTCCATGCCATGATACGATGCTGCGTTTACATTTAAAAGCCGACACACAAAGCTAACAGTCAACAGCAGCTTTTGGCCAAGCTTCAAGCTAACAGTGTTACAAAGTTGTTTAAGGCAGCACCGCACCGCATCGCACTCGTTGTCTTGATTTCTCGCTGTGTAACAAGTATGGCAATTAATTTTAATTTTTTGTTTTCGTTTTCGTTACGTTTTGTTTTGTTGTTCGATGTGCCATTTAAGAGCCTCTTTGAATGCAGGCTGTGTCGGTCGGTGGGTCGGAAGCGCGGTCACTCAGTCGGTATCAGTAAAAGGTTCCTTTGCATTTCCAAAATAATTAATTGAACGCAAATTTCTTCTGATAAATCAACCGAAGACAGCATTATCGCCAATCTTGCGAAAGTGACCATAAGACCTACCAAAAAAAAGAAAAAAATTCAAACCAAAAAAAAGCAATTCAAATTCAAGAAATCATCTCGATTGAAACAAGTTTAACGTTTTTTTCGTTCGTTTGATCGCTCGCTCGTCTTTTCTCATTTGATTGGTATTGTATAGACGAAGGTCTGTCTGTCGGGCTGGCTGTTTCAAATACACTCTGTATTTTGTTGGCGTATATTTTTAGTTTCTCAGCCGATATTTTTGTATGAATGGTTGATGTGACTTATTTTGTCGTTTTCGTTTTTTTTTTTTGTGTCGAGTATTGTAATTATAATCTGCAAAATAATAGAAAATAATGAAACAAACCCCAATTCAATTTCAGTCTTTTCAAAACTGCCCAAAGTCACAGATCGTCGTCTTGAAACTGCATCAGTGAAGCCCTGAAACTTGGACTCTAGGAAATAAATTTTGTGTGAGTAGCAGAGTGAAATAAAAATAGTTTTTGTTTTCAACGATTTTGAATTTGATTTGGAAAAAAACGTAACATAAAAAATCGAAAACTGGTATAATTAATTTATAGTGATGCGAAATTAAAATTAAAAAAATAAAACAAACAAAAAAACAAGTAAAAAAGCTGTAAGTTCGGCCGGATCGAACTTTGAATACCCTCCACCATTTGGAACGAATTTACCAATTCTCAAAACAATAAAATTTAAAAATTCTGTTAAAATTTTAAAAATAACGAACGTAGCTGTTATATTAGGGTCTATACGACGTCATGGACCTGCATAGGCAACTTTTGTCATTAGTCATTACAATAGTCAAATGCGAAACTCTAAAAAAAAATCGGTGAATAATGTCGCTAAAATCATCAAAATTCCGAATATCGGAAGGTACCGTTATATCGGAGCTATACGAAGACGTGGGCCTGCACAGACAATTTTCTGTCTTAGGCTGTAGTATTCATTGCGAAATTTCGAATACCTAATTTGAAACAATTCCGGAGAATAATGACGCTAAAATCAACAAAATACCGAATATCGGGGGGTACCGTTGTATAGGGCTATACGAAGACGTGGACCTGCACAAACAATTTTCTGTCATAGGATGTAGTATCCACTGCGAACACCGAATACCAAATTTGAAACAATTCCGGTGAATAGTGTCGCTGAAATCATCAAAATACCGAATATCGGGAGGTACCCTTATATGGGGGCTATACAAAGACCTGCACAGATAAATTTCTGTCTTAGGCTGAAGTATCTATTACGAACTTCAATTGCCAAATTTGAAACAATTCCGGTTAATAACGTCGATAAAGTCGTCAAAATACCGAATATCGGGAGGTACCGTTATATGGGGGCTATACGAAGACGTGGACCTGTACAGACAATATTCTGTCTTAGGCTGTAGTATCCATTACGAACTTTAAATACCAAATTTGAATCAATTCCAGTGAATAAATCTGCTAAAATCGTCAAAATACCGAATATCGGGGGGTGCCGTTATATGGGGGTTATATGAAGACGTGGACCTGTACAGACAAATTTCTGTCTTAGGCTGAAGTATCCACTGCGAACTTCAAATAAAATTTTCTGTCGTAGGCTGTAGTATCCAATGCGAACTTCAAATACCAATTCCTGCGAATAATGTCGATAAAATCGTCAAAATACCGAATATCGGGAGGTACCGTTATATGGGTGCTATACGAAGACATAGACCTACACAGACAATTTTCTGTCATAGGCTGTAGTATCCATTGCGAACTTCAAATACCAAATTTGAAACAATTCCGATGACTAATGTCGCCAAAAACAAAAAAGTACCGAATATCGGGAGGTTCCGTTATATGGAGACTATACCAAAACGTGGACCCACATGGCTTATTTTCAATACCAAAAGTCCTGCATGCCAAACACACTTTTGAGTAAAATGTTATCAATCTACTTCAATTCGTTCGGAAGCTAGAGTGATTTCCACAGGCGGACTGACGGACGGACATCACTAAATTGACATAGAATTTTACGCTGATCAAGAATATATATACCTTGTGGGCTCTAAAATGTATATTTCGAGGTGTTACAAACGGAATGACAAACTTAATATACCCTCCATACTATGTATGGTGGAGGGTATAAAAAAACACTACAACAGCAAAAACATACTACGCAGGTACCCAAGACATGCCAATGTGTTTTGTTAAGTTTGGTCAGGAATTCATTCATTAATCTTGCCTCAGGCAACGAATCGCATTGTTTTTGCAAATGGATTTTGAGAAAAACTGGATTTCTGTGGTATCTATCAACTGAGTAGTCCAAGTGCATTAGAGTGGTATAATGTGCCTCCACTAAAGCGGAGGGAAAACTAGTTTTGTTGATGCTATTTTTATTGTGCATAATATTTTTTTGAATAATTTTTGAAAACTATTAAAAAACAAACGAGGACATAAATTGAAAAATTCTTGTGTGTGACGCAGTCAAGTTCAATGAAAATCTAAGTAGACAGGCCGATGGTGGTGGACTCGTGTTTTGTATTTCCGTAATGGGGTTGGCATAAATTCAAAATGGATTTTTTTTCATATTTCGGTAAAATTTCGGTAAAATTTGGCAAAGGTATTTCTGGGCTGTATCTGATATCTGGTACCAAATACCATTCTTGTGGAGTGCATTTTACGAATGTGAAGGACATAAAACCCCAAATCGAAAGAAACGTATATATGATAGCTATAGCTGTATCTGAACCGATTTTGGGAATTTTTTTTAAATCACAATTCTTAGCTGTCAGAACGGCCCCAAAAACTCTTTAAAACTCAGAATTTTAGAATGGGATGAAAAAGATTCTTACAAATCAAAAAAGCTCAAAATGACGAACAAAGTTCAAAAAATTCAGGAATTCGCGGCCTTAGACTGACTTTAAAATCCTACAAATATCTACAGATTCTGGCTTTCAAAATGTTTTAATTTTTTTTTTTAAATCCATTAATTCTGACTTTCAGTATGGCTTCAAAAATCCTTACAAATCAACGATTTTTGGCATTCGAGATTTTTAGATTTTCCGAATGGTTTAAGTAATCTTTAAAAAAATCATCATTATTGGCTCAAAAAACTCTTTCAGAAAGACTTTAAAAAAATTCTTAAAAAAAATCTACAAAATTCCTACAAAATCTACGAATCCTGGCTCTCTCCAACATTTTTAAAAATTCATGAATTCTGGCTTTCAGAATGGCTTAAAATCCATGAATTGTGGCTCCTTGAGTCCTTTCTTGAAAAGTGGCTTAAAAAATTCAGAAATTCGGATTTTTAGAATGATATAAAAATCTATAAAAAATATCCACAAATTCTGGCTTCAGACTGGCTTTAAAAACATTTCAAAAAGTTACGATTCTTTGCTTTCAGAATGACTTAAAAATCCTTAAATATCCATGAATTCTTTTAGAGTGGCTTAAAAGTAAGGAATTCAGATTTTTAGAATGACTTAAAAACCTTAAAAGAAAATCCAAAATTCTGACTTCTGACCGGCTTTAACGACTCTTCAAAAATTCACGAATTCTGGCTTTCAGAATGGCTCAAAAAATCTTTAAAAATCCATGAACTCATGTTTTCGGAAGGACTAAAAAAATCTTCGAATCCTTGCTTTTAGAGTGGCTTAAAAAATAAGGAATACAGATTTTTAGAATGATTTAAAAATCTAATCTGGCTTTCAAAATTCGTCAAAAATTCGCGAATCCTAGCTTTCAGAATGTCTTAAAAATCCATGAGTGGCATAAAAAATTCAGGAATTCAGATTTTTAGAATGATTTAAAAAATACTTAAAAACGTCCGTAAATTTTGCGTTCTGACTGGCTTTAAAGACTCTTTAAATATTTACGAATCCTGAAATTCTGAGTGGCTTAAAAAAATTTTAGAAAAATCTTTAGATTCCGGAATTCAGGTTTCTAGAATGATTTAAAAAAAATAATTTAAAAAATCCACAAAATCTAGCATTAGACTGGCTTTAAAAACTTCTCAAAAATTCACGAATCCTGGCTTTTAGAATGGTTTAAAAATCCTAAAAAATGATTTTTTAATTTCAGAATGGCTTAAAAAAATTAAAAATAAATGAATTCTGGCTTTCAGAATGGTTGAAAAAATTCGAAAGTCAGATTTTTAGAATTATTTAAAAAAAAAAAAAATAAAAAAATCCGTAAAATCCTCGAATTATTTTAAATAATTGTTAAAAAAATCTATAAATTCTGGCTTCAGACTGGCTTTAAAAAATCTTTAAAGCTCCTGGTTTTCAGAATGGCTTAAAAAGGTCTTAAAATTCCATGAACTCAGGCTTTCAGGATGGCTTGGAAAAATCCTCGAATTCCTGATTTTAGAGTGGTTTTAAAGTCGGAAATTCTGATTTTTAGAATAACTTAAAAAATCTTTAAAACAAATACAGGGGTTCTGGCCTTAATGGAGTCATTCAGATATATTACCCGAACGTTGTTTTTTTTTTTTGCTTTCAGAACTAAAAAAAAAAAAAACACACACACACTCCCAACTAGAAATGACTGCTAGAAGAGGCATTAAGCTATGGTGCATAGCTCTGGTCATTTGCATTGTCATGGCCAGCATGTTGCCCAGTGTGGAGGGCAAAACAAAACGGCGAAATAAACACAAAAACTCCAGTGGCCACAAAACCGGAAGTAGTTCCGGAAGTGGCAGTAGCTCCAATAAGAAAACACACGCCAGCAGCACTCATACGGAACACAACAAACTTGAAACCAGTGGTGGAACACAGGAAAACAAACCCTCTAGGCCTAATCATCCACATCATCAGACATCATCTTCATCACCGGAAAGCCCTCATCCGGGACAAAATCATCCAGGACAAAGTATACCCGGAAGCAAACATCCCTATCACAAACACCCCAGCCAAGGTGGAAACAGCAATGAGAGTGGTGGTGGTGGTGTGACCCACCATCGTATCATACACAATCACTCGAGTCCAAATTCTCCCCATCCCGGAAATGGGGTCAATAATCATCCCAATAAATCGCCCTCAAATCATGGACATGCCAAACCCAATCACCCCAGCCAGAGTTCACCCACCCATGTACCGCCAATTAAAAATCATCCCATTCACAGTCATCACCAGAAACCAGAGCAGGGAGAAATGAATCCAATGGAACAGCCCATTCACAATCACCCCAGTCATGGTCAGACGGCGGCGTCGGGTCATCATGGTGTTAAGAATCATCCGGCCCACAGTTATCCCATGCAGGATCCCCAACCCAGCCCAAATTATCCCAACCATGGGACAATAACTCATTACCCCCATCACAGCTCATTGCCGCCAAATGCCCAATATGTACCGGCGGGTGCAGCATATCCCACCGCCGGTGTGGTCTATGTCCAGCAGGCACCTTCGTACGATGATTTGGCCTATGGTAAGAAGTTTGGGGGGTAACCAAATTTTGAAATTTTGTCACTTTCTTTTTCCTTTTTTCCAGAGGAGGGTAGGGTCCTTGGCCGTAGAATAGCTGCAGCCATACGCCGCAGAAATCGCCGCAAACAACAGGAACAACAACGGACAAATAGCACAGCTGGCAGTACCACAGCTGTGCCAGCAAATGACATCGTGGCCGATGGTCCACCAAATCCAAATGCAGCACCCCATGGTGTTGTGTGTGTGCCTATCAAACTTCCCCAGCCGGATGCTCAAGATCCCATGAAAACTCAGGAAATTGAACAGACCGTATGTTATCCAGCTCCGGCTCCACCAACACAGAAACCCTTCATACCCGACGGAGCAAATGTTCCAATGGCACCATTGCAACAGCAGCCACAGGCAATGCCATCAGGACCCATGGCTATGCCCTCAACTGTTCCAATGAGTTTGGGACAATCAGCACCAACAATGTCCCCAATGCCCACCATTCCACAACAGGGTATGCCATCAACAACTGTTCCAATGAGTATGGGGCCGGTGTTTATGCCAAATACGGCAGCGGCACCACAACAACAAAGTGTTGCCACAAATGTTCCAGTGATGGCGCCACAATCAGCACCCGTTTATATGCCACAACAGGATGCTCCCGCAGAACTCCCCGTCCAATCAGCACCGGTATATGTGCCTCAAATGAATAGCCTGCCCCAGCCAACTATTTCATCTGCGGTCCCAGCAAGTTTAGCTCCCTCCGGTCCAGTATATGTACCAAATGCAGCACCAGCTTAGGCTCTTCTCCCCGCTCAGAAATGGTAAATAATTTATAGCTATTTTTTCTATCAGCCTAAACGTGGACTTTCAATTCCTCAAAAAATCCCCAAAATTTCGCGAAAAATCACTTTAACTTCCGAACGGTATAAGGTAGCTTAGATCCTCCATCCTTTAGAAATGCTGAATAATTCAAAACTATTTTTTTTTTTCATAGAAGAACATAATAGGGAGGCCTTGTACAAATTTTTAGCCAAATCGGTTGGAAAATATGGTGGTCAAGACCCTAGAAATAGTTAAAATAAGGGTTACCTTTATGTGGGCGCTAATTCGAGACATTGACCTACATAACACATATTCCGCGAAGAGGTTTTATTTTTTTTTTTTCAAATTTCGGCTAATTTTGTTGGATATTTAAAATACCGAAAAGCTGGAGGTACCGTCATATATGGCGGCAACACCAATTAATGGACCTGAATCGAACTTTTTTTGCAAGGAGAGAAAATATGATTCCACAAACTCCAAATATCAAGATTCCACTATTTTGGTTAGAGATTGCGATAGAAACCTTCAAAATACCGATAATGGGGAGGTACCGTTATGTATGGGGGGGGTATACCAATTCATATGGCTAGCGAGGGTATATTTCATTTGATACGACCAAAACGTGCCTCAACGAAATAATGGTTTTAGACCCTAGGACTCTTTGGACCAAATCAGTTTCAGGACATTTGGAGTCGACCTAGCGATGTTCGTCCGACTGTCTGTCTCTATCGGGCTGGCTGCTCCGCACGAGTATCCGATTTGGTCCAAACTTGGTACATCGTAATATATTTGTCAAACTTAGATCAAGATGGGCAATATCGGTCCACTCCTTCTGGTACCTCTCCCACAGAAAGAGAAAGGACAATCCGATTTTACTGAAACTTTGCAAATCCTAATGTTTGCGTCAGTGCTAGGTCAGTTGACCTCCCCCACAAAGGGCCAACATTTTGAATAATTATAACTCTTATAAAATGTGATGGTAGGAGTCTGATTGTTTTCAAATTTCGCACATCCCAAGGTCTGGTGATAAGATGGAATATATCGGTCCACTCTTTGTGGTACCTCCCCCACAAAGGGTCAAAATTTTGAATATCCATGAAGCTCATAAAAAGCGAAATTAACATCCGATTCCATTCAGACTTGGAACATCTTCATATTTCTATCAACACAAGATCTGTTATAAAGATGATAAAGTTCGGATTATTTCTTCTGGTACCTCCCCTACAAGGGGTCAAAGTTTTGAATAACCAAAACGATTATAAAATCCGACATAAGCATCCGGTTTTCATCATATTTCACAGATCCCATAATTTCTACTAATACAAGATCTGCTGTGAAGATGGAATGTATAGATCCACTCTTACTAGTCCCACAAATGGTCAAAGTTTTGAATAACTACAACGATCATGAAATCCGTAAAAAGCATCCGATTCTCTTCATATTTCACATATTCCATTATTTCTACTAACGCAAGATCTGCTGTGTAGATGGGATACATTGGTCCACTTTTTCCGGTACTTCCCCAAAAAGGATCAAAATTTTGATTACCCATGAAGCTCATGAAATGCGAATATTTCAATCAACACAAGATCTTCTATGAAGATAGGAGGAACCATTCCTTTTGGTTCCTCCCCTACAAAGGATCAATGTTTTGAATAACCAATACGATTCATTTGTGTAGAGTAGACCCCCCACCTACTAATTAACGTTTGACGCTGCCAGAGAAAAATATTCACATGGGGTCGAATAGTAGCTATAAACGACTTCGCGAATTCCTGAACAGGGTCTCAAAATATTTTTTTGTCAATTGCTTGTCTGAACACCCGAAAGGGACCTCAGAGAATTATTCAACAAATCCATGTTTGACGACCTTCAAAAATTATTTCTAAAATCCATGTTTGAAGATCTTTCAAGTCTTTTAAGGAGTCCCACAAAATGATGTAGAAAATCCATATTTGAAGACCTAACGGAGTCTCAAGAATTTCTCTTTTTATACCCTCCACCATAGTATGGAGGGTATATTAAGTTTGTCATTCCGTTTGTAACACCTCGAAATATACATTTTAGACCCCATATAAGGGTACCTCCCTCTATTCGGTATTTTGATGATTTCAGCGACTATATTCATAGAAATTGTTTCAAATATGGTATTTGAAGTTCGTAATGGATACTGCAGTCTAAGACAGAAAACTGTCTGTGCAGGTCCAGGTCTTCGTATAGCCCCCATATAACGGTACCTCCCTATATTCGGTATTTTGATGATTTTAGCGACAATATTCATTGGAATTGTTTCAAATTACGTATTTAGAGTTCGTAATGGGAACTACATTCTGTAACAGAAAATTGTCTATGCAGCTCCACGTCTTCGTATAGCCCCCATATAACGGTACCTCCCGATATTCCGTATTTTGATGATTTTGGCTACATTATTCACCGGAATTGTTCCAAATTTGGTATTTGAAGTTCGAAATAGATACTACAGCTTAAGACAGAAAACTGTCTGTGCAGGTCCACGTCTTCGTATAGCCCCCATATAAAAGTTCCTCCCTTTTTTCGGTATTTTGATGATTTTAGCGACATTTTTCACCGGAATTGTTTTAAATTTGATATTAGAAGTTCGTAATGGATACTACAGCCTATGACAGAGAAACATCTGTGCAGGTCCACATCTTCGTATAGCCCCAATATAATGGTACCTCCCGATATTCGGGATTTTGATGATTTTAGCTACATTATTCACCGATTTTTTTTTATGTTTCGCATTTGAATATTTTAATTATATATAGTTTAGATATTATTTAGTTTCGAGGTCTTTTAAGTCCTTTAAGAAGCCTTAAGAAATTATTTAGAAAATCCACATTTGAAGGTCTTTCAAGTCATTTCAGAAGTCTCAAGAAATGATTTAGAGAATCCACCTTTGAAGGCTTTTAGGGAGCTATTAAAATTATTTAGAAAATCCACTTTGAAGGCTTTTGAAGTCCTTTAAGGAGCCACAAGCAATTACTTACAAAATCCACTTTTTAAGGCTTTCAAGGAGTCCCACTAAAGTATTTAGAAAATCCAGGCTTGAAATCCTTTGAAATCCTATGGTGGAGTGTATAAAAATTCTCATTTAAAGACCTTTAAGGACTTCCAAAAAATATTTTAAAAATCCACGTTTGAAGCTCTTCAGGCAAAATCAAAAATGATTTAGAAGATCTTTTTATTACACCTTTTTAAATTAATTATTTTCTCGTTTGAAGCTCTTCAGGAAACTCAAAAATAATTTAGAGGATCTTCAAATACTTCCAAAAAATTATTTTAAAAATTCACGCTTGAAGCTCTTTATAAATTGATTAGAATTTTTGACAAATACTTTATAAATATAACTTTTTTCTATATTTTCTTTACAGGCACTGCGATCCGCGGCGGCACGTATTTATTTATTTTTATGTGTTCCAAAACCTATGTTCAAAGAAATATTCCAAACACATACCCATACAAAGTGTATACATTATTTATTTTAGAGATTAAGAAAAAAAATTGTTTTGTATTTTTTTATTGATTTCGTTTTTATTATTTTTTAATAAAAATATATGAGTTTTAATCAAAAATTATAAAAATTGTTCTCTTTTTCTTTTTTTTTTTTTTTTTTTTTTGACTAATAACCAACCCAATTAATACGTATGTGTACCCAGTTTTGACACTCATAGTAGTAATATGCATAACTAGCTCATAATCTTAAACATGCAATAAATATGTTATCAATATCGAAATATAATTAACAAAAAAAAAATTGAATTGCAGGATTTAAAAGCGCAACGCAAGATAGTATATACTTCACAGTATCCAAGAAGTTGTTGAAAGTTTAACATCTACCTAAAGCTAACAACTTTGTGAGTTTAAGAAATTGGTAAATTCGGTGTTGATTTCGAATTTTTTTTCATAACCCGCAGAATTCTGAAAAAATTTAATTGCTGTGAAATAGAGTAGTCTAAGAGCCTGGCAAGAATGTTGCAAGGATATTCTTTATTTATATTCCAAAAAAAAATCAAATTAAATCCATTTCGGCTTTAAAATGTTAACAGGACCTTAAAAACCAAAAGCTAGGTCAATGCATCTCAACCCCTGAAAATATTTAAATTTGGTGGGGAGGTATGCCTACCTATTTGAGACCTATACAAAACAGTGGAGCTAAAGTGATTTTATTTTTTTTAATAACATAACTACTGATACTACGACAGTAACCATAACGAGTAAAAAATCAAATCGGGCCACCATCTCAACACTCGATTCATGTATCTCATTCCAGGGAAAATGGTACCCAAATCTATCACTCCTTAGCAACATTTGGAACAATGTACAAAGTATTCTGGTTTCAATACCAAGCATATGCTATCTGCCACAGCCATATAAAATCAAAGGCTGTAGTACCTACTAGGAATCTCAAATACGAAATTTGGAACAATTCCGTGAATAATGTCGCTTAAATCATCAAAATGCCGAATATAGGGAGGTACCGATATATGGTGGCTATACCTAAAAGTAGACATATACAGCCCACTTTCAATACCTGCTGACCAAACACACATTTGAGTGTACGGCGTATAAACCAATTATTTGTGTGGGTTCGTAACTCTGTTGAAAACAGCATACACATACATAACCTAAAAATTATTTATTTAAGAGACTAAGAACAAACACAAGTGTTTATATTTTTATGATTTGTTTTTTTTTATGTTATAATTTGATAATAATTTTGAATTTTTGCTCTCTTCATAACACCAATAACCTAAACCAAAAACCATTTCTCTCTGCACTTTTGCCTCTCACTGTACACATTTCGTAAATACATACGCATGCATATACAATATTGTATCATCGCAATATATAACAACAACAAAAACAACAAAATTGAATTGCAAGATCTCTATATTCAAAAGACAACAGAGAATATTTGGCAGTTTCTAAGAGGCTGCTCAACGTTTTAGATCTGCCGGCTAACAAGTTCCGATTGTGAGTTAAAAAAAAAAAACAAATTAAAAAATGTGAAATAATAAATGTTTGTTTGATGGATAATTTGAAGCAAAAACAAAAAAACACAACAATTAATTGCAACAATGCATGACAAAGTCAATCAAACAAATTGAGCCAATAACATCGTGAATGGGGGTCCTAATACCAATATTTGTTTTATGACTTCAAGTGTGGCTGTCGGTCTGTTTGTCATCATTAGAATGTTCGTTCATCCATTAATAAAATCCAAAAAGAAAATGCCATATTGCCAGAGAATGCTTGCCAAATGAGGCTGCGTCTTAAAATTTTACACTAATCAACTTTGTAGGAAAATATATTATTTTTTAACCACTTATAAACAATTTTCAAAATCTGATTATATTAACATGCCATGGTTAGGCACTTGGAGAGAAATAGAGGACTAAAGGTTAAACACAAAATAACTAAAATTAACGGAATTAAAGGGAAAATATGACAATTATTTAAAAAAAAAAAACAAGTTAAAAAGCAGTATGTTCGGCCGGGCCAAACTTTGAATACCCTCCACCATTTGGAAAGAATTTGGAAATTTAAAAAAAAAAGTAGAATCCGTTAAAAATTCTATTACAATATTAAAAATACCGGGAATTACCGTTATTTTGGGATCTCTGCGAAGACATGGACGTGCATAGGCTATTTTCTGTCACCGAGTGTAGGTTACGAAAGGCAAATACGAAATTTCAAACAATTCCGGAAAATGATGTCGCCAAAATCATCAAAATACCGAATATAGGGAGGTACCGTTATATGGGGGCTATACGAGGACGTAGACCTACATACTCAGATCTCTGTTACAGGCTGTAATATCCGTTACGAAGTGCAAATACGAGTTTTGAAACAATTTCGGGGAATATTGCATCTGAAATCATCAAAATACCGAATATAGGGAAGTGACGTTACATGGGGGCTATACAAAGACCGGGACCTGTATACGCTGTTTTCTGTCACAGACCGTAGTACCCATTTCTAAGTTCCAATGCGAAACAATTATAGTAAATAAAGTCGCTGAAATCATCAAAATACCGAATATAGTGAGGTACCGATATATGGAGGCAATACGCAGACCTACACCATGCATAGGCAATTTTCTGTCACAGGCTATAGTACCTATTAGGAACGTCAAATACGAAATTTAAAACCATTCCTGTGAATATTCTACCTAAAATCGTCAAAATACGATATATAGGGAGGTACCGACATATGGGAGCTATACGAAGACCTGGTCCTGCAAAAACAATTTTCCGTCATAGACTGTAGTATGCACTAAGAACTTCAAATACAGAATTTGAAACAATTCCGGTGAATAATGTCGCTGAAATCATCAAAATACCGCTACCGTTATATGGGGCTATACGAAGACCGGGACCTGCATAATCAATTATCTGACACAAGCTGTAGTACACGTTACGAAGTGCAAATACGAACTTTGAAACAATTCCGGTAAATAATGTCGGTAAAATCATCAAAATACCGAATATAGGGAGGTACCAATATATGAATGGGGGGTATACACCACATAGTGGTAAGGGTATTATGTCTTTGTACATTTGTTTGTAACAGGCAGAAGGAAGCGAGATAAACCCATAGTTACTCTTAAGGATCTTCATAGAATCACTTTCTGAGTCGATTTATGCATGTCAGACCGTCCGTCCGTCTGTCCATGTATTCTCTTGAACAAAATGAAGGCCGCATTTATTATCCGATTGAGATGAAATTTTCCAAACAATATTTTGTTTGGCCCAAGGACGATCTCTATTAAAATTGGTGATAATCGGATCCGAATTAGATATACCTCGGGGTAATTGTGCACCAAATGCCCAATATAAGTCAAAATGACCTGGTAGTTTGGTACATTCGACCGAATTCAGTCTAGAAGCAAGTTCATCAAATTTGGAGAAAATCGGTTCAGATATAGCTATATCTCCCATACATTTCTTCAACCGATTTCGGGTTAGTTATGCACCAAATGACCAATATCTGTCCAAATGACCTGAATTTTGGCACATTCAACCGATTTCAGCTCAGAAGCAAGTACATCCGATATGGTGGTTAAGTCCATCACATTCGTAATATCCATTCGACAACAATGCTATTTGGTACCAGATATCTTATAGAGCCCGGAAATACCTTTGCTAAATTTTTATCGAGATCGGTTTAGATTTGGATATAGCATTCATATATATCTTTAACCGATTTCGGGTTAATTGTGCACTAAATGGCCAATATCTGCCCAAAAGTCTTGAATTTTAATACATCCAACCGAATTCAGTCTAGAAGCAGGTATGTAAAATTTGGAGAAGATTGGTTCAGATGCAAAAGACTTTTCAACAATTTTTCGAAAAACTTAGTAGAAATATCGATTTGGTGATCTGCTTGAGGGTTAAAATTAATTTTTTATATATTAATATAAATATTTGTATTTAAGATTTTATTCATTTAATTTTATTATTTTTTAGACTGAGGAACTAGTGTACTCATCGCCATGAGCAGAAACACAATATTTTTTCTGCTGGTGATATTTGCCATTTTAATGACAAATTTCAATACTGGCGCCCAAGCGAAACGTAGTAAAACCAAATCAAAAGATGGAATTTTTTCCTTCCACAACAAGAATCGCAGCAGTTCTTCGTCTTCCTCTCATCATGGCAGTTCTTCGTCTTCCTCGCATCACAGCAGTTCTTCGTCTTCTCCTCATCACGGAAGTTCTTCGACTTCCTCTCATCACGGCAGTTCTTCGTCTTCGTCATCCTCGTCAAAACATGAAAGTTACAAATCGCCCACTACAACGCATCATGACAAGTCCTCGCACGATGCTAAAGATAAAACTTCAACTAAAGAATCCTCCTCGGATCTCCATCATCACACCACCCATAAGCCACTGCTGCATTCGAAAGATACCAAGAATCATACATCATCTTGGGTTGGTTCTTCTTCTATAATTTCAAAACACAACGATAACCACAAATTATCGGAGCACAATAAATCCCACAAGGATGTGAACCATAATGGAATTTTGTCGAATAAACCCCACCATGGCTATAAACCTTCAGCCCCACCTTTGCCTAGTGATCTTAGTTCAATAACTAAGACGAAGAGTCATGTTTTAGATGCATCCCCTCAAAAACATAAGAACTCGACAATGGGCTGGCAAGTTGCTGTGGCCCATGGGAATACGGACAAATCAATGCCACTCAAACATGAATCCTCTGGAAATGTCAAGCATAATTCCACTATAGACCAGTTTTTGAAACACGAACAGACATATCTTCACCAAAATCCGGGTCACAACAAAATCCCTCACGAGAGCAAATCAAATCGCACATCTCACATGTTGTGGAGTACACCAACACATGCACAAGCAAAAGAACATCATTCTTATGAACCTTCAGCCCCTCCAATGGAACCATCAAAGTCCCATCCACCATATCCCAGTGGTGATCATGCAGCATCACATTACCAGCAATCTGGATCAACACATGGGTACTATCCTCAACAAGCACCAGCATCTCATCCCTTGGGGAGTGATGCGCAATATCATCAATCAGCGACGTTATTTGGAAACCATCCACAATATATTCCCAGCTCCATGCCTGGTATACCCTATAATCATCCACATCAAAATTTTCCAGTCCCAATTCCAATCGTGGTGCATCAACAGCCAAGGGAATCTTCATTCTCTGAAGGTAAGTGCCCGGCAAAAAACGTATTACTAAATGAGGGGTCTTATACGTACATTTTGGTATTGCAGAGACAATTTTCTGTCACAGGCTGTAGTACCCATTCTTAAGTGTCATTCTTAAGTGCCAATCACTTTGTGCAAACGACCATACTTATCACTTTGCGCAAACGACCATACTTATCACTTTGCGCAAACGACCATACTTATCACTTTGCGCAAACGACCATACTTTTTAAAACATCACTTTGTGCAAACGACCATACTTATCACTTTGCGCAAACGACCATACTTTTTTAAACATCACTTTGTGTAAACGACCATACTTTTTAAAACATCACTTTGTGTAAACGCCCACACTTTTTAAAACATCACTTTGTGCAAACGACCATACTTATCACTTTGCGCAAACGACCATACTTTCCAAAACATCACTTTGTGTAAACGACCATACTTTTTAAAACATCACTTTGTGCAAACGACCATACTTATCACTTTGCGCAAACGACCATACTTATCACTTTGCGCAAACGACCATACTTTTCAAAACATCACTTTGTGTAAACGACCATACTTTTTATACCCTCCACCTTGGAAAGGAGGGTATATTAACTTTGTCATTCCGTTTGTAACATCCCTAAATATTCGTTTTAGACCCCATAAAGTATATATATTCATAATCAGAATAAAATTCTAGGTCGATTTAACGATGTCCGTCTGTCTGTCTGTCCGTCTGTCTGTCTGTTGAAATAACGATACAGCCCACATTATTTGACGTAGAGCTCCAAAATTTAGCAGAGCTATTTGCATTGTGTCTAGGATGGTTGGTATTGAAAATGAGATATATCGGTCCACGTTCTGGTATATTCCCCATATAACGGTACCTTCCGATATTCGGTATTTTGATGATTTGTGCCACAGTTTTTCACGGATTTGTCTTGAAATTGGTATTTGTAGGTCATAGCGGGTCCCTGAGCGTGTGGCAAAACATTGCATGTATAGGTCCACGTTGTGGTATAGCCCCCATATAAAGGTACCTCCCGATATTTAGTATTTTAGTTTTTTTACCACATTTTTTCACGGATTTGTCTAAAAATTGGTATTTGTGGGTCATAATGGTTTCCAGCACCGGTGGCGGAACATTGCATGTATGGGTTCATAATTTGGTATAGTCCCCATATAACGGTACCTCCCGATATTCGGTATTTTGATGATTTATGCCACATTTTTCACGAATTTGTCTTAAAATTGGTATTTGTAGGTCATAGCGGGTCCCTGAGCGTGTGGCAAAACATTGCATGTATAGGTCCACGTTGTGGTATAGCCCCAATATAAAGGTACCTCCCGATATTTAGTATTTTAGTTTTTTTTCCACATTTTTTCTCGGATTTGTCTGAAAATCGGTATTTGTTGGTCATAATGGGTTCCAGCTCCGGTGGCGAAACATTGTAATTATAGGTCCACGTTTTGGTATAGCCCCCATATAACGGTACCTCCCGATATTCGGTAATTTGATGATTTTTGCCACATTTTTTCAGGGATTTCTTCGAAAATTGGTATTTGTTGGTCATAATTGGTTCCAGCTTCGGTGGCGAAACATTGCATGTATGGGTACATGATTTGGTATAGCCCCCATATAACGGTACCTCCCGATATTCGGTATTTTTATGGTTTTTGCCACATTTTTTCACTGATTTGTCTAAAAATTGGTATTTGTGGGTCATAATGGGTCCTAGTTCGTGTAGCGAAACATTGTAATTATAGGTCCACGTTTTGGTATAGCCCCCATATAACGGTACCTCCCCGTAATCGGCATTTTAATGGTTTTTGCCACATTTCTTCTAATGTTTCTTTTACCCTAAGGTGGAGGTTATTAAAAGTTTGGCCCGGCCGAACTTAATGTTTTTTTACTTGTTAAAACATAACTTTGTGTAAACGTTCATACTTATCACTTTGTGTAAACGACCATACTTTCCAAAACATCACTTTGTGTAAACGACCATACTTATCACTTTGTGCAAACGACCATACTTTCCAAGGCATCACTTTGTGCAAACGACCATACTTTTTAAAACATCACTTTGTGCAAACGACCATACTTTCCAAAACATCACTTTGTGTAAACGACCATACTTTTTTAATCAGAAAATATTCTTTTAAAAGTCAACGTTTGCTGTTATTCTGGGACCTCGGAAAATATTCTAAAAAAAAAAAGTTTGCTGGATTCCGGGTCCTCGGAAGATACTCTTTTAAACATCCACGTTTGCTGGTCTCTGGGTTCTTGAAAAATATTATTTAAAAAATCCACATTTGCTGGTCTTTGGGAGGGGGTGGAGGGAAGTGTATATAAGAGTAGCGTCTTCAATAAAAAACATGTATGAGTTCTTCTATGGGCAGATGGCATTATGAGGGTCTCCTACATTTTGGAAGAACTATTAAAGACCGTTTATGGGTGCATAAGTTCCTCATATATTTATGTGCAAACGACCATACTTATCACTTTGTGTAAACGACCATACTTTTTAAAACATCACTTTGTGCAAACGACCATACTTATCACTTTGTGTAAACGACCATACTTTCCAAAACATCACGACCATACCTATCACTTTGTGCAAACGACCATACTTTTTAAAACATCACTTTGTGTAAACGACCATACTTTCCAAAACATCGCATTGCGCAAGCGACCATACTTATCACTTTGTGCAAACGACCATACTTATCACTTTGTGCAAACGACCATATTTATCACTTTGTGAAAACGGCCATACTTTCCAAAACATCACTTTGTGTAAACGACCATACTTATCACTTTGCGGAAACGACCATACTTATCACTTTGCGCAAACGACCATCACTTTGTGTAAACGACCATACTTTTTAAAACATCACTTTGTGCAAACGACCATACTTTCCAAAACATCACTTTGGGCAAACGACCATACTTATCACTTTGCGGAAACGACCGTACTTATCACTTTGTGTAAACGACCATACTTTCAAAGACATCACTTTGTGTAAACGACCATACTTATCACTTTGCGGAAACGACAATACTTATCACTTTGCGGAAACGACCATACTTATCACTTTGCGCAAACGACCATACTTTTTTAAACATCACTTTGTGCAAGCGACCATACTTATCACTTTGCGCAAACGACCATACTTTCCAAATCATCACTTTGTGTAAACGACCATACTTTCCAAGACATCACTTTGTGTAAACGACCATACTTTTCAAAACATCACTTTGTGCAAACGACCATACTTATCACTTTGTGTAAACGACCATGCTTTTTAAAACATCACTTTGTGCAAACGACCATACTTATCACTTTGCGCAAACGACCATACTTTTCAAAACATCACTTTGTGCAAACGACCATACTTTTTAAAACATCACTTTGTGCATACTTATCACGAAATTCCGGTTAATAATATCGCAGAAATCATAAAAATACCGAGTAGAAGGTACCGATATAGGGGGTTATACGGAGACGTGGGCCTGCATAGGCAATTTTCTGTCACAGGCCGTAGTGCCCATTGTTAATGTCGCTGAAATCGCCAAAATACCGAATATAGGGAAGCACTGTTATATGCGGGCTATACGAAGGACTTGCACAGACAATTTTCTGTAATAGGCTGTAGTATCCATTACGAACTTTAAATACGAAATTTTAAACTATTCCGGTGAATAATGTAACCAAAATCATCTAAATACCGAATATAAGGAGGTACCGATATAGAGGGGGCTATGCGAAGACGTGGACCTGCATATGCAATTTTCTGCCACAGGCTATAGTAACCATTGTTAAGTGCCAATAATAAATTTGTAAACATTCCGATTAATAATGTTGCATATTCGTCAAAATACCGAACATGTGGAGGTACAGTTATATGGGAACCTGTTTAGGAACGTCAAATACGAAATATAAAAATACCGTCTAATACGGTCTAAAATGTATATATTTCGAGGTGTTACAAACGCAATGACAAACTTAATATATCCTTCATACTATGGTGGAGGGTATAACAAAAGACTCCTATATCTAATTTCAGAGTTCCAGCCCTATACCCTCATCACATACACATTTTAGTACTACTTCGTACTATTTGTACAAATATAGGATGCAATTCCGAGACCATTTCCATATATTAACCAGGAGTAACATCTGACCAAATTCCAGGATTTAAACTATATTCCTTCACTCAACACCAAATTTAGTACCGTTTAGTATTTTTCGTACAATTATAGTACTCAATTCCATAACTGCTTCTCTATCTTAACCACAGACACCAAAAGTGACATCTATATCAAATTAAAAGATTTAAGTTCTATTCCTTCATCCAATATCCAATTTAGTACCACTTAGTAATTTTCGTACAAGTATACCACCCATTTCCGTAACCACCTCCCTATCTTAACCAAAGACACCAACAGTGACATCTATATTAAATTTAAGGATTTAAGCTCTATACCTCGACACCTCGACACTTCTCCATCCTAAACACCAACCGTGATCCGAAATAAGTGCCATTTCGTACTTTTCGAACAATTATAGTACGCAATTCCAAAAACAACGACCAAGTCTCAATACCAGATACCAACAGAGATCTCAATATCAAATTAGAGAATTCACTCTATTCCTTCACCCAATATCAAATTAGGTACTATTTAGTACTTTTCGTATAATTTTAGTACGCATTTCCGAAACCACCTACATATGTCCAGGCTACACATGAATAGCTACCCAACACGAAATTTCAGATTTCATACACTATCTGTTCACACAATATCAAATTGTACCAAATATTGTACTATTCAGTACTGTTAGTGCACTTGTAGTACACATTTCTAAAATCACATCTCTATCACAAACGTACCACCAATACCAACATTTCAAACTACCAGCCTCTGCCGTTCACCCAAAAGCCAATTGTAGCAAATTTAGTACCATTTAGTACAGTTCTTACACTTAGTACACTTTTCTAAAACCACCTCCTTACATCAACCACATTTTCAAGACATTGATTCTTATCCGCACATAGGGTGATCCTAATACCAAATTTTAGACTTCCAACCCAATCCCTTATTCAAATAACAAATTTAGTACCATCTGGTACTTTTAAGTACTTATTTCCAAAACCACCTCCAAATCTCAACCCTATACACCAACTGTGATCGTAATGCAAAATTTTAGAATTCCAACTCAATCTCTTACCCAAATACCATATTTAGTACTTTTTAGTACATATTTCAAAACCTTAGTACATGTTTCACTTCTCATACTTCATTGCTATACCAAATGTCAAGATTTTAGCTGCAACCGTTATTAAAGTACCAAAAGGTACGAAATTTAGTGCTTTTTAGTACAATTCTAGTACGAATTTCCAAGATTCTAGCCTAGGCGTTGATGAAAAGGTCAGTAACTCAATTTTTACTCCGAAAATCCCCACCAAAAAAGAACGGAATAGAGAGGAACTCACTTAAACTTTTGTTTATTTGCAATGCAAAGTTTTCAATTTTAAAATAATTTTTTTTTTTCAGAATTTGCCAAAGAATTCGCATATGCGTTACGGAGACAACGGAACAGACAAAGGCAACATGGAACAACTACCGAAAATCCGGCCGTTGTTAAGGTGGTCAATGCAAATCAACAGGGAAATGTGCAGCAACCATTGCCGAATGTTAATCCGAACATTCAAATATATCCCAATGGCCAAGTTATTTGCCAGAAAATAAAAGTCAATGCTACCGATCCGAAAAATCCCATGAATATTGTTGAGATGGATAAGGAACAGTGTTATCCAGTTTATGCGGAAAATAATCCACCACAATATCCACAAAATTATCCGAATGGACAAATCGCTTGCCACAAAATAAGGGTAAATGAGACGGACCCTAAAAACAGATCTACGGTGATTGAAGTGGAAAAGGAGGAATGTTATCCAGTTTATCCGGAAAATTATCCACCACAATATCCCCAAAATTATCCGAATGAACAAATCGCTTGCCACAAAATAAGGGTAAATGAGACGGACCCTAAAAACAGCTCTAAAGTGATTGAAGTGGAAAGGGAACAATGTTATCCAGTTTATCCGGAAAATTATCCACCACAATATCCCCAAAATTATCCGAATGGACAAATCGCTTGCCACAAAATAAGGGTAAATGAGACGGACCCTAAAAACAGCTCTAAGGCGATTGAAGTGGAAAAGGAGGAATGTTATCCAGTTTATCCCCAAAATTATCCCAGTGCCCAAATCACCTGTCATAAAATAAAGGTGAATGAGACGGACCCGGACAATAGCTCCAAAACAATTGAAGTGGAAAGGGAACAGTGTTATCCATTTTATCCCCCACAATATCCTCAAACTTATCCAAATGGACAAATTGTCTGCAACAAAATAAAAGTCAATGAAACCGATCCGAACAACAGCACCCGGACCATTGAAGTTGAAAAAGAGCAATGTTATCCAGCTTATCCACCAAATGATGTCTCTCAGGGCTCGCAATCTGCAGGGAATCCAGGTCAAGTAATTTGTTACAAAACGAAAGTCTTTGAAGTGGATCCAAATAACAGCACCAATATCGTGGAAGTCATAAAGGATGTTTGCAGGAATCCATTGAATTTTGAAATGAATGCCGCCCTGGTTCAGCCAGAAACCTATAATCCTCCACCTCCTTCTCTAAATCAATATCCAAATCCAAATTACCTCTCAAATCACCAAATACCAAACAATAAATCCACTGATGGAGGTTTGAATTCCTCGTTTAATACTCAAGGAGCCATAGATCCTGTTGGCGGTTCAGGATCGTGTGCACAATTCAATATTAAATTATTCGCATCTCTTAGTTTTATAATGTTGTTGTATTTCACATAACACACCAATTTTGTATTAACATGTTTCGATTAAAATGTATTTTGAGATGTTTTCAATATTTTTTTTAGCTCATGGAAAAAATATCGAATAAAGGGTGGAACCGTCATAATGGGGGCTATACGAAGACGTGGACCTGCATAGACAATTTTATGTCATAGACTGTATAACCCATAATGAACTTCAAATACGAAATTTGAAACAACTCTGATCAATAATTTCGCAAAAATCGTCAAAATACCGAATATAGGGAGGCACCGATAAAGGGGGAGAGGGGGTCTATAAGAAGACCTAGACCTGCAAAGGCATTTTTCTGTCACAGGCTGTAGTACTCGTTTCGAAGTGCAAATACGAAATTTTGAAACCATTCCGGTAAATAATTTAGCTAATATATATAGGGAGGTACTGATATAGGGGGCTATACGAAGACGTGGACCTGTGTAGACAATTTTCTGTCACAGGGTGTAGTACCCATTACGAAGTGCCAATATGAAATTTGAAATCACTCCGGATAATAATGTCGCTGAAATCATGAAAATACCGAATATAGGGAGATAGCGTTATTTGGGGCTATGCTTGGACCTGGACCTGAATGGGTAATTTTTTGTAGTATATTGTAGCACTCGTTACGAAGTGTAAATACGAAATTTGAAACAATTCCGGTGAATAATGTAACCGAAATAATCAAAATACCGAATATACGGGGGCTATACGAAGACCTGGACCTGTGTAGACAATTTACCCATTACGAAGTGCCTATATGAAATTTGAAATCATTCCGCTTATTAATGTAGCTTAAATCATCAAAATACCGAATTTAGGGAGGTACAGCTGTATGGGGGCTATACCTAAACGTGGACCTATACAACCCATTTTCAATAACAAAAGTCCTGCACACATTTGAGTAAACTTTTATGAAGCTACTTCAATTTGTATTGGAAGCTAGAGTGATTTCCATTGGGTCCGACTATGCCCTACAACACTATTTATATTTAGGAGATAGTATTTAGTTGAAGTCGCATGATCTACTTCAACTAAATTCTATCAACATTTAGTTTTAAGGCAGTTATAATTTGGTTTCAGAGGAAACCAATATATGGGAGGCATATCCAATTCTGAATCGATTTTCACTAAATTTGACGGAGACATTTTTATCTTTTAAACAAAATAACATTGCTATAGAGTGCATGATATCACTTCAAGAAGGATTATATCAAAAAAATATATATATCGGGGCCGAGATTCGGCAAATGGAAACATAGGTTCCAAAATTCACTCAATTTGGGCTGATATCAGCCATTATTTGTATAATAAATCTGACATCAGATTGGGGATAATTATGGGAGCTTGGCAAAGGTATTTCCGAGCCCTATAAGATATTTGGTACCAAATATCATTGATGTCGCATGCATGTTACGTATGTGAGGGTCTTAAACAACAAATTGGATGAAACATATACAGTTTGAGATAAAAAAAAATGCAACAAAGTCAAACGGCCTAAATTTTACATTTTTTTTAATTTTATTGACTGAAAGCCAAAAATGTCGGAAATAGCATCAAATTTTAGAATAAGTTTAGATTTGTTTGAATTGGTCACGTGCCCTCCAGAATATTTTCGCGATAATATTCGGCATTTACTCTGATGCCACGGTCGATTAATACGATCGGAGAGCGACCATCGGCTGTTATGGTCGCCATCGCAATGGCCGGCGCTTGAGTTATGGTGGTTGGCCACCTCAGTGCACATTTTCAGCTGACCTCTTTGGCAAGAAAACACGATCATTTTGTTTGTTTACAAACTGCTCTGCTGCACAACGAATGTTTTCTCATCGGAGCAAACCAAATTCGGCAGTTCACCACTTTCGACCAAGCCAAGCAACTCTTTAGCTCTTTTGAGTCTATTTTCTTTCTGTCGCGGTGTAAGTTCTTCCACTTTTTGGAATTTTAATGGGTTTACCCCGAGCTGATTTTTTAATATTTGCCGAATGGAATATTGCGATATGTTGACTTCACGAGCCATTTTTCGGGCACTGCGACTCGGGTTTCGATCAAGTCGCTTCTTTACTTTTCGAACCATTTTTGCTGATGTTGCTGTTTTCTTAAATCCACTTCTTTGACGTTGGGCTACGCTTCCAGTATTACGGTAACGAGGGGTGGAAGGAGACACAAAAGATTTATTCACATTTAAATGCTGGAGTTCTCCAACAATAGCCACTTGTGGTTTTCCAGCCAAATATAAAAAAATCACACTATCACGCTTGAAATCACACCATCACCAAAAACTTTTTTTCTGGAAAATTCTCACCAAAATTCTTTTGTACGCTTGTAAACAATATAATGAGCTGTCCCTGGAATAATTTTAACACCTGTCGGACGAGTGGCTTAGAAATGACAGCAGCCTGAAATTGGTTGCAGTTTTTCATCTCACCCTGTATATTGGAGCTATATCCTAATCTGAACCGATCTCGACAAAATTTGACAGGGATATTTTCGAGCTGTATCTGATATCCGGTACCAAATATCATTCTTGTGCTATGCATATTACGCATATAAGGGACTTAAATCTCCAAATCGGATGAAACATATATATGGGAGCTGTAGCTATATCTCAACCGATTTTCTCCAAATTTGATTTCCTTGCTTCTAGACTGTATTCGGTCGGACGTACCAAAATACAGGTCATTTTGGATGTGCCAAAATTTAGGCCACTTAGACTGATATTGGCCATTTGATGCACAATTAACACGAAATCGGTTGAACATATATATGGGAGCTATATCCATATCTCAACTGATCTTTATAAAATTTTTCAGAGGTATTTCTGGGCTGTATTTGATTTCTGGTACCAAATATCATTGTTGTCGAATGCATATTACGAATGTGAGGGACTGAAACACCAAATCGGATGAAGCGTATATATGGGCGCTATAGATATATCTGAACCGATTTTTATGTACTTACTTCTAGACTCAATTCGGTTGGATGTGCCAAAATTCAGGTCATTTGGACTAATATTGGCCATTTCGTGCACAATTAACCCGAAATCGGTTGAAGATATATGGGACCTATATCTAAATCTGATCCGATTATCAACAATTTCCATAGGGTTCGTCCTTGGGCCAAACAAATATTGTTTGGAAGATTTCATCTCAATCGGATAATAAATGCGACCTGCATTCACAAAAATACATGGGCGGACGGACATGCGTAAATCGTCTCAGAAATTGATTCTATGTATATCCTCAAAAGTAACTATGGGTCTATATCGCTTCTTTCTCAATGTTACAAACAAATGCACAAAGACATAATGCCCTTACCACGATGTGGTGCAGGGTATAAATATTGATTTATTTTTTGCATGGCTGCAATGTAAACACTCTCTAATGAGCCGAAACAATGACATATGACATCTGTCTTGCATCAAGAATTTTCAAATCGATTTTGACATTCCCTCTCGCGTCCAAAACAAATTTTGTGTGTTCTGCAATATTCGACAACGAAATAAGCAGACAGGCATTTAAAAGCTGACCACTATGTGACAATTTCGCAATTTGCAGTGGAAATAGTGATTCATGTTTGAATGCCCGTTTTGATGTTTACGCTGTTGGTATTTATTTTGAAAAATTAAAAACAACAACGCCACTTCCAATCACAAAAAATTATGATGACCATTGCATGTGAATAGCAGCCAACCCAGCATAGAACTCGGCTCAAAATACCCGTACGAAAAGTACCAACATTCTGTTTCCATCACTGATCATTTAATTGAAACGTGGGCGATTGATCCTCTCTTCGGTGTCGGTGCGGTGTCGTCGTTGTTATATGCTTAAAACAGACAACAAACAAAATAGATCGCACAAACGTAAACTTTATTTAGTTTATTGACAAACGTCGTTGAGCGCGAAACAAGCTAAACGGAAAACGAAAAAACAAACAAGTGAGTGAGTGAGTGAGTGTCTGTTTTGTCTGCCTGCCTGCCCTGCGAGAGATACACAAGCGTCCAATTCCGAAATAAAAATATATTATTTTGTGTTTTTTTTTTTTAATTATACAAAAACATTTTGTATATACCCAACAACAATAATAATAAAGCATATACAATATTCAATTCAATAACAGATATACAACAACAACAACATAACCAGAGAATCCAAGAAAACAACAAAAGCCAATCCAAAGTGTCCAAAGTGATTCACAACACACAGTGTCTCAAAGTGTCTCATTGAAGGAACGGTAATAAATTTTGTGTTTTTTTTTTTTTTTTTTTTGATCATCGATATTAACAAAAGACATACCTGCTGATTCGGTTATGAGAAATTCAAATATAGCTCATTTTGTGTTCAATATCCGGTTATTTATTATATATATTTCAAAATCTATTAAAATATACAATACCTAACGTTCATTATTCCTTCAACGCTCCACATTTGTCGTCATAAAGACGTTTGACTGTAAACTATACATTTCTACAATGTTTATAAATTGAATATAAACTACAACAACAATAGCAAAGTGTGTTTTGTTACAACAACAGCAACAAAATGACAATAAAAAGATATGATCTTTAAAAAAAATTCGCTAAAATTTAATAACTGAAAATAATAGTTTTACATCAATCGGAGAAAGATAAGGAGGTCGACCCCAATACCTCTGATGTGCATGTCATTCCATGAAGATGAAGTGAAGATTTCGAGAAAATTGTGAAATTATAATTAAATAAAAATTCAAGTTTGTTCGGCAAGATTGAAACCTTAATATTGACACTAGAAAAAAACCCCGACCGAAATAAACTGAGTTCGAGCGCTTGGAATTCTCTTCACTCTTTCCCTCTGGAAACATAGGTTCTATCTAAAGAAAAATATGAAAGTATTTCATTTAGTGTCCGTTGAAATTGCAATTTTCAAAATTTCGTAAAAAAGAAAGTTGTGCTGAATTGCGCTAGGGTTTTGCTCACAATTTTCCGAATTTTTTCGAAATTCTAAAAAAGGAAATTCTAAAAAATGGCCAAGATATTAGAAAAAACATAGTTAAAATTTTCGAAATTGGAATAAATGAAAGGTGTGCTGAATTGTACTCGGTTTGTACTTATTTATGCCTTTAAAATTGTTTTACCCTTCACCTGGAAAATGAGGATATATTATTTTTTATACCTTCAGCCAAACGTGGAACGGCTTTAGACCTTTGCTCTTTGGACCAAATCTGTTTCAGAACATTTGGAGTCAATCTAGGGGTGCCTGTCCGTCTGTTTGTCTGACTGTCTGGTGCGCACGATAACTCTCGAAGGTAGTAAAGCAAATTTAGATCGACTTCGGAGATGGGAAATATCAGCCCACTCCTTCCGGTACCTCCCCCACAAATGGTCGACATTTTCAAAGAAAATAATTTAACTCATATACCCTACACCACATAGTGGTAAGGGTAATATGTCTCTGTGCATTTGTTTGTAACACGGAGAAGGAAGCGAGATAGACCCATAGTATCTTTTTGAGGATCTTCAAAGAATCACTTGCTGACTCGATTTATGCATGTCAGTCTGTCAGTCCATGTATTTTTGTGACCAAATGCCTTTCGCATTTTTTATCCGATTGAGATGAAATTTTCCAAACAATATTTTTTTGGCCCAAGGACGAACCCTATTGAAATTGGTGAGAATCGGATCAGATTTAGATATAGCTCCCATATATCTTCAACCGATTTCGGGTTAATTGTGCACTAAATGACCAATACCAGTCCAAATGACCTGAATTTTGGTACATCCCACGGAATTCAGTCTATAAGCAAGTACATTAAATTTAGAGAAAATCGGTTCAAATATAGCTGTAGCCCCTACATATATTATTTTTTATTCGACTTCGTGTTTAAGTACCATACATTCTTAATATGCAGTCCAGAACAATTATATTTGGTATCTGATATCAGATACAGCCCAGAAATACCTCTTCCAAATTTTATCGTGATCGGCTCAGATTTGGGTATAGCTCCCATATATAACTTTAACCGATTTCAGGTTAATTGTGCACTAAATAGCCAATATCAGTCCAAATTACTAGAATTCTGATGCCATGGTCGATAAATACGAGCGGAGAGCGATCATCGGCTGTTATGGCGGTCCACACCATCACCATGGCCGGCGCTTGAGTTCTGGTGGCCAACCCATGGTGCACATTTTCAGTTGACCTCTTTGGCAAGTAAACTCGATCATTTTGTTTGTTTACAAACTGCTGGACAACGAATGTTTTCTCATCGGAGAAAACCAAATTCGGCAGTTCACCACACTCGGCCAAGCGAGCTCTTTTGAGTCAATTTTCTTTCTGTTGCGGTATAAGTTCTTGCACTTTTTGGAATTGCAATGGCTTTCACCCGAGCTCATTTTTCAATATTTGCCGAATTGAATATTGCGATATATTCAGCTTACGACCCATTTTTTAGTCACTGCGGCGCGGGATTCGATCAAGTCGCTTCTTTACTTTTTAAACCATTTCTTGCTGTTGTCTTCCGTCCACTTCCTCGACTACGTTATACGCTACCAGTATCACGGTAACGAGCGTTGGTACGAGACACAAACGATTTATTCACATTAAAATGCTGGAGTGCTCTAACGATAGCCACTTGTGGTTTTCCAGCCAAATATAAAGAAATCACACTATCACGCTTGAATTCCACCACGAATACTTTTTTTCTGGAAAATTCTCACCAAAATGCTTTTGTACGCTTATAAACAATATCATGAGCTGACACCGGAATAATTTTAACAACCATCGGATGAGTGGCTTAGAAATGACAACAGTCTGAATTTGCTTGCAGTTTTTTCATCTCAGCCTGTATTTTTCTGCGCAGAAAGTGGAAGGATAATCCGATTTTGTTTCAACTTGAGAAATCTTAATATTTTTATCAGAGCTAGGACATTATCGTCCACCAAGTCCATCAAGTACCTCCCCCTCACAAGAGTCAACATTTTGAATATCCATGAAGCTCATAAAAGGAAGTAACATGGTACGTCGGAATATTTATATCATATTTATTTTGGTCCAACACGAAATGGATAATATTGGCTCATTCCTTCGGAACCTACTCCATAGAGGGTCTTTGGCACAGAAGTCAAAATATATTTTACTGATCGAATATTGGCTAAGAGTTTAAATCTGGGGGCAAAACTGACTGACTGATACTTTTTAACTTGTTACTTGCTTCTTTCACTAACATATCCTACCTTTTAATAAATATACAATTGAAACATTTGCATATCAATTAGGATGGCTAAAAGTAAATTACAAACTCATTTCACATTCCGACATTAATGTGCCTTTCTTATTTTGTTCCAAATAGTAAATGAACCATAAAGAAATTTTTAAATAACAATAGTTGATCTAGATTAGAAAACAAAAAACAAACAATGCGTTGTCCGGTCTACAACGACTCACGATTTGAAAACAATGACCACACTTTTTGTAAGTCTGGTTTCAATTTCAACGAAACGGTGGATGACTCATTTCCAATGTTTTAGATTTTTTTTACAAAATAGGATTTTTATCACTTCGAACACACACAAGTTACTCACACGATAATGGACTCCTCCACAAAAATAATTACAATCTAGGGTAGTAATTGATGACATGCAACCATTTAAAATTCATTAGTGAAACATGAAAAGTGAAGATTTGATAAACAGAAAAAGTCCTCACGAAGTGCAAGCGGATGTTCCTTTTTTATCTAGGTATATATTTTTATTTTTTTAGTACACATTACCGTACATAGACAAAGATACGAACACTTTGTCCGAATTTCCCATAACGAAAAGACAATGCGAGGGGTGGCAGTAAATGCAGTTTGGGTTTTTTTTTTTGGGATCGCACATGTTGAATAGCCTTGGCTGTTCAAAACAAATATGACTAAAGGTTATCAACAGCATCACCATGATCAGGATCATTAATTAGTAGAAAGACAAATAATATGTATTTGAAAATTAATTATAAACATGCGTGCATATAAAATATAAGAAATATATAAGAATTAATAATTATATGCGGGAACACAAGTTCAATGGGAATAAAAGTATATTATATATAGCCCCAACAAAATACCATACCAACAATTTAAAAATTATTTGTCGGATTTTTCCGAAAGTTGTGTACCCTCAGCCAATGATCGATTATTTAAATATATTTTGACTTGTGTTATAATTATTCAAATTATTGACCCCTCTATGGAGTGGGTTCCGAAGGACCTAAATAAATATCATATAAATATTGCGACGTGCCAGGCTTGGACTGTATTGGTTACTTGCTTTATTATACCCTACACCACATAGTGGTAAAGGTATTATGTATTTGTTCATTTGTTTGTAATAGGAAGAAGGAAACTTTTGATACTTTTGAGGATCCTCATAGAATCACTTTCTGAGTCCATTTATGCATGTCAATCCGTCCGTCCATGTATTCTTGTGAACAAAAATGCAGGTCACATTTATTATCCGATTGACATGAAATTTTGCAAACAATATTTGTTTGGCCCAAGGACGAACCCTCTTGAAATTGGTGATGATCGGATCAGATTTAGTTACAGCTCCCACATATTTCTCTTCAACCGATTTCGGGTTAATTGTGCACCAAATGGTCAATGCCAGCCCAAATAACCTGATCTTCGGCATATCCGACCGAATTCAGTCTAGAAGCAAGTATATCAAATTTGGTGAAAATAGGTTCAGATATAGCCATAGCTCCCATATATATATGTTTTATCCGATTTGGGGTTTAAAGTCCCTCACACGCGTAGTATGCACTCCACAAGAATGATACTTGCTACCGGACATCAGATACTGCTCGAAAATACATCTGTCAAATTTTATCGAGATCGGTTCAGATTTGGATATAGCTCCCATATATATCTTCATCCGATATCAGGTTTATTGTGCACCAAATGGTCAATATAAGTCCTAAT